ACCTCATTTGAAAATATTCTGCTCCTCCACTGAGGCTGGTCGGCAACTTGTTCTTGTGACCTGGGTTTTCCAGCCCTTCTTTTCATTTTGGCCGGAGAAGTTCTCCATGGGGTGTTGAGTTGACACGTGATTTCTGCTCTTTCTGTCATGCACTTCACTCTGACAAAAACCCAGACAGCGGGAAGAGGAGGAGAATCTCGTGCTTAGCTTTGAAAGTGCCAGCCCCTTGCTAAGTGTGAAAATCGCTGTTTGTCCATTCCTTCCTGCACCTCTTCCTTCTTCTCTCCACCTGCTGTCTCATGCTCACCTTGGAAACATCGTTGTCTCATCTGTTACTGAACTGTGTGTTTCCTTTTAGTGGGTCATGTGTGATATGTTACTTCGGGAACAAGAATGATCATTAGCTGGGTTCAGCAAAATTCAAGTGTTTTCTCCCCCCTGCCCCCCTCCCATAAATATAGCTTGCTTGCAAACAAAATAATTTATAAGATTCTCTTTTTGTACATACTGATGTGGGGCTTTCTCAGGATTGCTATTTTAAGGCTGGAAGACAACCTTTTTCTGTGACTGCTCTCCATAAATAACAACAGACTTATTCCTAGACCAGTTCAAAAATGTTCTACTTCCATTATGAGAAAATAAATTTAGTTTAGGAAATAAAAGATAACATGATACTCATAACTTTTTTATGAATTGTAAATTTTTGTGATAGTGAGCTCTCTGTTTGAAATGAAATAAATACTGTATAAAAGCTATTTGTTTAGAAAAAACATATAGCCCTTCAAAACACAATAAATAAAATAAGGTAATTTAAGATATGTTTGGAATAAATCTTACTTGGTTTGGGAAACTGTTACTTAAAATTTTGTCTGAGGTATTTCTGTAATAGTGAGGTAAACACATGCCTAAAATGCAAAACAACTAAACCCATTAATAATATCTGTTTATCCCATGATATGTCTAAGGCTTAGTGCTTCGATAGGAAAATATTTACAGCAAAGGTTAAACCTACAGCTTATTTTGTATCCTTTGCAGTCCCGTTCCAAGCTAAAAGAAAGCTAAAATTAAAATGATGTTTTTGGTATTGAGCAAGTGTTACTTGAACCTGCGAAGAGAACAAGCAATTTAATCTTGGCGAACATCTTCACATCCCAAGAAGTCTGGTTTTTGCTTCGCTTTCTTAGCTTTGCAGTTATTTGCACTTGCCTTACTCCTATGCTTGCCTTTTCTTGTTTAGAGGAATACTGAATTGACATTTTTAAAAATGCTCACAGAGGCTAATTGTGTCCTTCTTTTTCATCTGTAAATATCTTATTATACTGATGACTGAATAGTCAGGCTGGTACCTGTAGCTGGTGGTGTCTTGGAAGATAAGATTGTATTATCTGGCGCTGGTTTGTGCTGAGTAATGTTCAAAAAAACCACATTATTCTTCCTCACCTTTTTACTTTCCTCTGAGATCTACCGTGTTTCTGAAGAGGTGTACGTGTTGGTGCTAGAAGTCTGCATGGCAATGAGATCTCTCCCAGAAGAGTGGGCAGTTTCTTACACTTGGTGGAATCATTTTTATTAAATTACTTACCTTCTGACTTAAAATCTATCCTACTGTTCATAGCTGTTAACAATTTCTGCTGGTTTCATCTTGCTGTGTGCAAGCTGTGACAGGTTTTTGTGCTTGAGGAGGTTATGTGGGGTAGCTGGTCTCTGGTGAGCTCTTGGCTCTCATTCTTCCGATTGCTGGACCGGCCACCTGGCTGACGGAAATGCCTGGGGAGAGCCGCTCGTCACCAGCCTCTCCAGGCAAGAGAATTGCAAGGTGTGTTGGTCAGAAAAGTGCCTGTCTTAAAACTCCCACTCATCGCAAGCATGGAATACAAGAAATGCGTGGTTAGACTATTAAAACCACCGCCTCATCACTTCTGAGGAATTCATTCCCAGATCCGCTCTCTCTGCTCTAACCAGCAATTGTCACTGTGCCCTATTCCTGAGAAAAAGGGATAGATGGCTGCCCTAAATCACATGGGAAATATTTGAACAATTTCCCTCGGTGAGGGAATATCGGCAGTTCTGATTTGTCTTGTTTTAGCTGAGAAGCTGTGGGAGTGTGTCACCCATAATCAAAATCGAAATAATTCAACTCAATATGAGATGCTTGATGCCGATTCTCCTGGCATTACACTGCTGTTGCTGCATGGGATCAAACCAGGGAGATCTATTGCTGCCATGCTGAGATTTGCTGGAGGGATGCATTAAACGCCGAGGACTAGCTTTCAGATGTTGGCTCTGTGAATCTGGCTATCGGCACCTGGGTTCTGCCCAGGGGCTGAGACACCCTTCAGAGCTGCCTCTAAAGTAGACCGTACAGGTAATCCCTGAAGGTGTTTGGTATTAGCTTGATAGCTATTGCGCTCTTTAAATCAGTGTTCCTACCAGGATATGTTTTGGACCCCTCAGTTTACAAGCTACTCTCTCTGTAGAGCCCTGACAGATCCCTTGCTTGACGCTACTGATGTCTATTTAGAGCCAGAGGATGGCACTGGCTGGACTTGTTGTCTTTTAAGCTCTGGAGATGGGGTTAAGATGAGAGTGGGTGACTCCCCCATCCCAGCAGGAGGTACAGAAGACCATTTCTTATTTTCTCATCTTCTCAGTTACATCCTGTATTCCTCCGTTCCCATTCTGTGCTCCGAGGCCTGATGAGCTAAGAAAATAGGAAGCATTGGCAGAAACTTAAAACGTTGCTTCTCTCTGGATGTGTTTAGTGCTTCATGCTGGACTCAGTGGCCCCTGATGCCCTCAGAGCTCCTCCTGGAGCTCAGCTCCCCAAGCTAGTGCTCTGAAGGGCCCTTTATTAGCTTAACAGTGGTGAGAAACTTGTTTTGGATGTTGGAAATCCAGAGTTTATTACCCCTTCAGTCCATGGAAATTCAAACCAGTGTTTCCAAAGAGTGACCCAATGGCCAGAGCACATGCTGAGGCTGCTCACTTTCCATTTCGGCATACGCCATGCAAGTGTGTGGAAGAAAATCCATGATCCTTTGGGGCAGGAACAGGAAGCCCTATATAGTAGCAGTATTTTAGCCATGGAGCCTGAGCCAGCATTGACTCCAGGATACAAGGAGTATCTCTTTCTGCAGGTCTTCCATCTATCTAACCCATGCCTATGGGGTTGAAAACCTTATGGGATGTGGACAGAGCTTTGGCCATTTATTGGATTTGCTGGGATTTGCCCACTTTGGCTCAGATACGATTTTGGCGTAGAGCTGGTTGGCTCACTTGAGGTTGGAACAGTTCTGATGATGTGCAGGAGGCTTTTCGGTACCTTGTGATCTTGTGGATAAAATCCACATTTTGCTATTTTCTTCTTCAGGACTGAGCAACGTGCCAGCATGTCAAGTTGCCAGATTCAGTCTGATTTACACAGCAAAAAGGGCCAGCACAGAAAAGGCTAGATTTTTTTACTGAAGAGGAAAAAAAAAAGTTTTCCCTTTCACTGTATCCCAAGATTTGAAAGTGTTGGGTCAAAGAGAAAGTTTTCACTTCCTTTGATCTCCTCACAAGGAGGGAGTAACTTTCATGCCTGTCTTAGTGACAGGGAGAAGAGAAACAGGAAACACAGAGTGACCTGGCTTTCCAGAAGTCAGCAGAGAATGAAAATGGTCACCACCTTGAAGAAATGGATTTCTAGGTAACAAACAGGATGGAATATTAGGAAGTGTTCAGTTTAGGGAGCTGAAAAACTGAAGGTTTACCATATTTAGTCAGTGTCCTTGTCTCATTTGCAGTACTTCAACATTGGCAACGCATACAGATATATATAGAGAGAGACTGTGTTGATTTCTGGTAGTACTGATTATATCCCCCAAATTCTGAGGAAAATAGATATAATTGTTGCTTTGAGAATCCCATAATTGAAGGAAAGTAGTAGTTTAGCAGATGTTTGACCATAAAATATCAGAGAATTCATTTTTTTCGCGTGTGTTTTAAAATGCACTCTTTTTCCTATGGGTGACCTCGCCCTTTCATTTTAAAGAAATACTGGCAAGTAGAACCATCCCCAGAATGCAGCCTGCCCAAAATGTCTCCTTGAAAAAGGAACGGTCTCTGGTTTCCACGTACTTTTTGTTGCAGAGAAACTGAAATAATATAAATATGAAGATAATGTATTGGCAGACTTTTTCCTAGTTTCTCTGTTCGAGTTCTGGGGTTTTTTTGTTTAACTATCAACAACATGTGGTCCAGTCTTGCTCTTATAGAAGGTGGTGGGAGTTTTGCCACTTAAATAATATGAAAATAGTTCCAGTCTGTTATTTATAAAATGGGGATAATATGTGTCTCAAAGCTGTTGAAGGCGTGTGCTGTTGCCGTAGGCTCACAGTCTTTTTAAGCTACGGATGCTGCTGAAAGAAGTGGTCTGGCCCCAGTCTCGGATGATGTATTTTTCCCCAGTGTTGACCCTCCTTTTTTGTTTCTCCCTGGTGAAGTGGATTAGGGGAATTGTCTAGATTAACAAAAGGCCAACAAAAAAGTTAATTTTAATGTGTATCAGAGGAATTACCCTTAAGTTGCCAGCATCTTGGATGACCACTGACCTACTCGGGGAGAAGGAGATCCTTCTGGAGAGACTTGGGTACCCCCTTTGATGA